AGGCAGGGAGCCTAAAGCTAGGGAGGGACTGGGAGTGTAAGAGAGGGAGGGAGGCTGCCTTGCCTGGGAGGGGCCTGGGGAGAATTCACATAGAAAGGTCACCCCACTCTGAGCAAACTATGCCTCGGGAAACTGGGTTAACCACACGAGCCAGTGGGGGAGCTGCTGACTGTTCTCAAAATCCTCACTTTTCCACTTTCCATCTGAGAAATGGGGCTGCAATTTTGACTTTTGACAGAACCACTTACACAAAGCTGAGGGGGGAGGGGGGAGAGGACAAGTGAGTCTTTCCAGCCCTGCCTGGGTCCAGCAGAACAGCTGACGCTGGCCCCAGCCTGCCCACCCACCCTTGCCTGGCCAAGAGGCTGGCAGAACCCCAGCCCCAGCCGGACTGGAGTGTGTTTGCTTTGGACTCAGCTCCAGTGGTGGTGTAGGGACTGGATCTGTAGCTAAAAATACCCGGCAACCAGGCCAGCTGCTCAAGAGCTTCCTCAGAGGTGGCGGGGCCATGGCAGGCCAGCTGAGGAGCTGGGCACACCCACATGCCCCCGGAGCCCTGCTTCCTTACCTGTGAGATGTCCCGGGGACCCATGTCCCTTTTACTCACCAGGAATTCCTGGAGAGATTCAGAAACACAAAAAAAGATACTTTCCAACTAGTCCTCGCCACAGAGCTGTTGTGAGACAGACGCCAAGGGGAGCTGGCCAGGTGGCATTTGTGGGGTGAACTCATTTGGCCTGCGCCATCGCGAAGCCAGCTGAGCCCGGGAGAGAAGGGGCCAGATCCACTTCTGCCTTGTCAGGGCCAAGTCCGGCCAGCTCAGGTTGGGATGGTTAATGATACGCCTATGGCTTCCACCTCCCTGGTGCCTGAGCCTTCACAGACTAAACTGTTCTCTGACGTCCTAGAGATGGGCGGTGGCCGGGGTGACCTGGGGAGTCACTGCCATACCAAAAGCTCCCCTCAAAAAGCCAGACTCAGAAACAGCTCAAGAGGTTATCCACCAGCTTCCTCCTCCCGGTTCACGCGGGGAGATGACTGCCTCCCAGGGGGCAGGGACCTGCCAAGGTCACCGGCCAGTTGGAGGCAGCAGAGGACCCAGATGGCCTCGTGGTGGCGGGGTGCCTCGCTGCAGTCCACGCAGCTGCGTCTCCACCCAGAGGGTCCAAAAGGTTATATTCCAGGCTGGGGCGCCCGGTGGCTGGGCCGGAAGGGGCAGGAGCCTGGAGCCCAGCAGAAAGGCAGGTCTGGCGGCCTCCTGGCCTCCGTCGCCAGCGGCCCGCCCTTCGTCGGCGTGGCCCTCTCCAGGCAGCCCCACGGGCTTGGCCCAGGAGCCGCCCCGCCCATCGCCCCCTGGGTGACCGGTGGACCGGCCGCCCTCTGGGCCGGGAGGAATGACAGCCCGCCCCTCCCTGCCCCAGGTGGTGACGGGGTGGGGGTCAGGGGGGCACAAAGAAATGAGAAGGGGTGAGAGAGAAATGGAAGCAGGCTGGAGGTCTGCTGCAGACGATCCTTCCAGGTCACGGGGACACCTCTCCCTTCCAAGAATCACACCCAGACCACAGTTTAGCACCTAATTGCTCCCTAATTGGTCCCAGGGCGGGAGTGGAAGAACTGGCTGTGGCCCTCCAGGCAGCTGCTGAAAGGGGAGGGTTCAAATCAATTATTGGACAATCTGAGGCCCACTGCAGGGAAAGACCCCTGCCCTGGAAGCCACCAGGGCCCTACCCTGAGGGACACCGGAAACCCTCAGGAGGCTGACCGGTTAAGCGAGGATTGAGAGTTGACTGGGCAATGACAGAGCTGAACTTACTAAACCCCAGGCCTCAGGCCTGAGGGGAGTGTCGGAGGGAAGAGGCCCATCAGCTTTTACAAAGAGCTTTCCCCCTCCCCTCACGACAGGTAAGGAGGTAGAGACTGGTGCCAGGGGCGGTGGGGTGCACCCCCTTGTCCCCAGCAAAGGACAAGATGGACCTAACCCAGCTTATCTGGGACTGGAGAGGCCAAGGCATGGTGGCCAGAAGGAGCCAAGAGCACCACGCGGATTCCTTTCAACCAGACTGCTTTCCCAGCTCCGGGCCGTGATGCCAGCAGACAGCTGGCACGGGAGGGAGCCCAAAATAACCCGACAGCTGGGGCAACCGGGTGCCATGGACACAGGCCCTGGCTGTTAGTCAAGACACCTGGAACCCCGTCCTGGCTGCCTGTGGTGACTTCCTGACCTTGGGTAATTTATACTGAGGGGGGTTGTGACCCCCAAATCGTGACTGATCATAGAGCAGGGGGCAGGCCACCATCCCAAATCGAACTACAGGGGTGGGAGAAGGAAGCTGCCTCCCAGCCTTCCCCTTCGCCCTGAGGCCCAGCCACGTGCTCCCGGGTGGGCAGGTGGGGGAGGAGCTGGAAGGCAGCCCGGCCTCCACGCCCTCCAGCCGCTGGAGTGGAGGCCGACGCCGGGTGTGAGGCCTCCAAGTGTGGCCTGCCCCCTTAATACATGTTACTGATGTTAAAAAATATACAAGTGACACAATTTAAATTACGTTTTTTCAATACAAAAAATAAACATTTCCTTTTTTATTATTACATTTTCTTAACGTTTCACTCTTGGAAAGGGTCTTCAAAAAGTTCTTTTTATTCTAAATTGTTTTTGTGTGAAATAATTTGAAACAGTTGTCTACACACAGGCCTACGTTGCACTTCGAGCACCGAAAAACGGTGCGACTCTTTGCCGCGAAGCGAGCGTGAGCGGCGCCTGGCCTGCCTTCCTCTCTCTGTCCAGTGCTCGTGCCTCTGGCGTCCAGGCGAATGAGGCGCAAGACGCTGGCTGAGGCGGCAGCGGGCCGGCCTACGAGGCAGCAAGTAGGTTGGTTCTCCCCCCGGCGGCCTCCAAAAGATTTCTCACGAGCGCCAACCGAAAATCTCGATGGGTCACCTTGCTCCCTACAGAAACAAAGGCAACCCATGAGTTTAGAACAGTCAGATCAAGGAGGTGAAAGAATAGCTTTTTCGTCCACTTCCAAGGGCGCCCGCTAATGGAGTAACTATTGGCCATTCTGTGGGATTTGTCAACGTAACCCATGTGTTTGTTGTAGTCTTTTATGACTGCAGGATTCAGAGCTCTCCCCTGGCTATCACAGAAGTGCCCCTCTTCAGGTGGCACGTGCATATTTGTCAGCATATGGACATTTATCTCTCCAAATGATCGCCGTCAGATCGCGTCTGCATCTCACCTTCACATCTCCGCGTTTCGTTTTCAATTTCTTGTCTTTGAATTCTTCCGGCAAACCAATTCGATTTGCTCTAACTGTCCCACAGCAATTTATTTTTATTTTCCTTAGGTGTTCGAAAAGTTCGGGAGAAGAAAAAAAATTATCCATCATGAGCTTATGCCCCCTTCCTTCCACCCTTCTCGGCAAAGTTTTCACAGTCGCACACGTAGCTGTTACGTCTTGCGCTGCGTTCTGCCTGTCCTGCCCCAGGTGAAGTCATGTCTACTGTATATCCCGCCGAGTCACACAACTTACAGATTTTTACTCCAAACCTCTTGTGTTTTTTGGAAATGTATTGTTTGAAAATCACTCTGCCTTTGAAAAGAACAATGACTTCATCCACTGCTAGGTACTCTGAAGGCCTGTAAAGTTTAAAATATTTTTCACTGAGAACATCAAAAAGGTTTCTTATCTTCCAGAGTCTATCATAACTTTCATCATTCCTGTTCGGTTCATTCTCATTGTTTGTGAAATGTAAAAACCTAAGGATGTGTAAGAACCTATCGCATGCCATTGCATTACCATAGAAAGGGGTGTAAAACTGTTCCAATCGTGCCCAATAGTCTTTTAGAGAATCTCGGATATCATGTCCCATTTGAATCACAATTGCCAAAAAAGCACACATTTCGGAGTATTTTATGTCGGGTTCTGGAGATGATCCAACTTCCTTTTTCTGTATAAACTGGGAGTAATATCTGTTTGTCTCAAGCACTAGCAGGTGAATAACTTCTTGAAAATAGAGGAAAAATACTGTCATGGGTGAGGAACTTGCCGTGATATTAGGAGCTTCATTTGCATTCAAACCCTTTTCATGGATGTTGCATGAATGGATGTTGGAATACGTAGCTCCTTGACTTTTGCACCCACTCCTCTGCCTGAGTTTGAGCTAAGTCTTGGTCGATGCTGCCGTCCTCTTCCTCGGAGCTGTCACTGTCGTCTGTAATATGTGTGTTGGAATCGCTGTCTGCGAAAAGTTCCTCCGTAATTTCACTCTCTTGTAATTTTCTTTTGCGATTCATGGTGCTGTTAGCGTGGTATTTTCCTGAGTAAAAATGCAGCGAATAAATACAAAAATATATGCACACAAAGATTTTTATCCAAGTGAGGATTGCTTCGTGGAGAAAATTTTCAATTACGAAATGTAAGTAATACATACCGAAATAAATGGAGCAGCCCATAAAAAGCCAGCCAAAGAATCAGGAGAGTTTGAATAAATGCTTATAACACTCGGACAACTTTGGGGGAACTGTTCACCATCGAAGTAGCAGGGGAACTAAAAAATTTTAGTCCAGAAGAGAGAACAGTGAGGGGAAGCCAAGGCCTAAGCTTGTTGTATCCTCCTCCTCAGATAAGGGCCAACTTGCAGTCGAAAGGGGCCTGTGCTGAGCGAGGGGAATCCAAGGCCAAAAGTTCGTTGTCAGATACTCATAAGGAAGTGCCCGCGCAGCGTGTCAGAAGGGGGAGGTGTTGAGCGAGGAGGGGAGTTCCAAGACAACGTTTGTTGTTACAGATACTGCCCAGAAAAAGGGGGGCGGGCTAGCAGGTCAAAAGGGACATTTGTTGAGAGATAAATAGTCCTGACATCATTATGCACTCCAACCATCATCACAGAAGGAGTGAGAAATAACTCAAATGAAGTGGGAACGAAAGTTCCCATTCGACCAGCGGGACCCACTCCTTGGGGGGAACCGAAGTTCCCTCTCGTCCCGGAAAGGTTAATCCTACTTAATCCTGACAACAGCATCACTATCATTTTACACTGGAGACTCGCCCAAGGTCACCAGCACTCTGGAGACTCGAGCCCACAGCCGCCTGACTTGGCCTCCGCTGATTAAGCCCGCAACAAATCCTGAGGGTCAAGCCCTGCAAGCTCTCCCAAAACCTCAGAGTAGCCCTCACACTGAGGGGTGGCGTGAAAGTGGGCGGCGCTGATCCCCTACCGGAGCCAAGCTGTGAGCCAAATGGAGGCAGTTCAATGCAATCCCTGGCACCTGGACCCAAATGGCTCATCAAAGTCATCAGGCACTAGGGACCACATGGGGAGGGGGTCAAATCAAGGGCCACAGCGCTCCAGCTGTGGGGAGCTTCCCAGAGACAAAGGGGATGGGAAACTGCAGGCACAGCTCGTGTGAGGGGGATTAGGAGAGAGCTGCGGTGATTAGGAGGCCACGGCTCTGTGCCAAGCACTGAGCGCTCCCAGCCTCACAACACCCCAGGTGTTGCCTAGCCCAAAAGTTCTCTAAATGGGCCCCCAGGTGGTAGGATCAGCACCGACTAGGGATTTGTTAGAAATGCAAGTTCTCAGGCCCCACCTACGGAATTTAGAAACTCGAGGACGGGCCCAGAATGGGTTCTACGGTGAGACTGGGCTGCAAGGCTGTTTGAGAATCACTGACCCAGCCCCGCGTGTGCAGATGCTGTGCATCCCATGCAAGGTAACAGCAGGTAAATAGGTGGCCGGCTGGCTTGCGCGACTTTCTTAGAGACGGGGCTGGTTTTGGCGTGGGGGTGGGCAGGGAATCCCGGGAATTCCCAGGAAGCAGAAGAGGCAAGAAACCTCTTAGAGGAAGCGGCCCAGGCCTCAGGTCCCGTGCTGCACCTCCCCAGCAGCCAGACGTCCGAGGGGAAGAGGCCAGCACACAGTCACCCCAGGGGCCCTGGCTGGGGGCAGGAAGGAAGGGCGAGAGCAGGGCCGGGCTTCCTGGCAGCAGAGGTGTCTTTCCGAGGCATCCAGGGAGGCCCCCCCCNTGGGAAACACGGCCAGTGCGGCCTCTCCTGTGCTACTAAATACGGCAGAGAATTGCATGCCCCAGACTCCTAACAGAGGCTGACAGGCGGGGACGGATGGGCCCGGCAGGCCGCCCATTTCACACACACGGTCCCACACATCTGCGGGGGGGAGGGGCTGCAGAACCAGCCTAGCGGGTTTGAGGTGTCAGCCTTCTCAGGGCTCCAGGCCAAAGCCCCCCAAATCTCCCTTGCAGGCTGGGAAAGGGCTCACACCTACCTTAGTAGGAGGACTGTCAGAGTCAAGCTAGGCCTGCTCCTGCTGTCCAGGGGAGGGCGGTCCGCTCGGGGGGTACCGGCAACGCGGCCCCTTCTCTGGCCAAGAGCCTGGGGGGTGGGGGTGGGAGAGATGCCGGAGGGTTTGTTAGGGAGTTGATGGCCACGAACCAGACACGCTCTCCTGGAGGAAAGGGGATCCGTACAAACGCCGCCCTCCTATTCCAGGCTGCCAAGGCGCCCTTACTCTGGGATGGTTAACCGGGGTGGGGGTGGAGTGGATGAGTCACCAAGGTTCACCCCGGGCGACGAGCAGCAGGAGGCGACTCATCTGCATTTCCAAAGGCCCGCCCCGTCCACATCCCCTCCCCTCCCCCAGCAAAGGC